TCTGTGCCCAACTCACCTACAGTCCCACAAGTCCAGGCCCCTGGAGTCATTACAAGCGCTCCCACTCACGAAACAGATGGAGCATGTGTAACCAGTGTCCTGGGATGGGCCATGAGCTCTCAGCTGTAAGGCAGTCAGGGGAGATTCTACTACAGTAAACTTCCGATAACCCAGCACCTTTAGAACCCAGGGGGTGCCGGATTAGCAGATATGCGGACCATCAGAAGGGAAGGCTATGAAGGGTCTGGGGTGGAGTGGTGGGGGAGGGAGATGTGCCCCTCAGCACTGCAGGACCAACCCAGCAGCACCCCAGACTTCCAAGTCAGCCGCTGCTGAAATTGACTCTGGGAAGCCGGGGGCAGAGCAGCTGGGGTGCTGCCGGGTTGGTCCCGCAGTGCCGAGGGGCAGCGCTAGGGTACCAACCTGGCAGCACTCCAGCTGCTCTGCCCCAGGCGTCTCCAACTCAGCAGCTGCTGAAACTGACCAGCGGCTGACTCGGGGAAGCCGGGGGCAGAGCTGCTCCAATTGTCCGGCTGCCCGGAGCACTTCCAGGTTCCAGATGGCGCTGGACCATCAGGAGTGCCGGACCATTGGATGCCAGACCACTGGAGGTTTACTGTACTACTACAGCGCCATGGATAGCTGCAAAGGTAGAGAAACAGAGCTGCTTCGCACACCTAATCCAAGCCCTGGGCTAGCATCCAAGCCAAGAATTAGCTAAGAAGTTCCCATGGACATGGACCCTCAGCAACACACAATTTATAAAACTCCAGATTGAATGGGGGATGGAAGGGAGGGGGAGCAAGCACAGCAGCTGTTAGGTGCACCCGGACTTCAGCTAGAGCAGGGCTGGACAATCATTTTTAAGGGGGGGGGGGGGGAAGAGAATGGGGACACTCCAAGATTTTGCTTAGCGGGCATGGGCTGCACTTTCCTATAGAGGGGGTGAGGGTTGGGTGCAGAAGGGAGCTTTCGGTTAGGGGATTGCAGTTCAGGAGAGGATGTGGAGTCAGAGGGAGTTTGGGTGGAGGGGGTTGTGACATGGGGTAGGGATGGAGAAGCGGGGGTGCAGGGATCTGCATTGTGACCTAGGGCAGGAGCGGGTTGTGACCTGGAGCAGGGAATTGGGTCCAGGGGAGGATATGGGTGCAGTGGAGATTCTGACCTGGGGGAGGGGTGCAGAAGGGAGTGCATGAGTGGGTGGGGTACCAGACTCTTACCTAGGCGGCTCCTGACCAGCAGCCCAGCAAGATCTGCTACAGTCCCAGGCTGCTCAAAGCAGCCAACTGCTGGAGCCATGTGCTCTCTGTGCCAGGGGAAGACCGTGTGCTGCCCGCCCCCCAGCACAATCTCTCAGCTCTCATTGGATGGAAACAACCCTTTTGTAGAAGCGTTGGGTACACAAAGCCCAGAGACTCAGGGCCCACCACTCAGAAACGCGGAGTACCAGTGACTTCTGTTGAAGAGCCACCTTAGGATCCCTGACACAGTATGAGCCTAAGCAAACTCACTGTAGGCAACGCAGCAAGCCAATAACCTAACTGGGATCAGAACTGAAGTGTACCCCTTCCCCCCAAAAAACCCCCACACAGGCAAGTGATGCTTTCTGCTTTTATTCAATTAAATGCAGCATTCTATACAAGAAAAAAAATGAAATCATGAAATTCCAAACCCTGACAGTGAAGAACTAAATTCTTCCTAAGAATCAACCAGAATTAAAAGATTCCCCCATTGTACTGTACATAAAATAATCTCTTCCCCATTTACAGCGTTCCACACAGTACTTGTGTATCTCAAACTTCAGAACTGTACAACTTTGTTTACAAACCACGCTTTCCTATGAAAAACTTATTACAGAAAAAAATATTGCCACTTTTTATTTATTTGTAACAAAAAGTTAGAATCTTTTAAAAAACAAAATTTAAGTCAGCCAGAACTCTGTTAAGAGCGTGAGTGGGGAAGGGCGGG